AGGAGGTGGAGCAGGGAGGGGTATGAAAGTCCAGCAGGGATGGGGACAGGGCCACAGGTGAGATCTCAATAAATTACACTCTGAAGTGGTCATTAATTATAGATGACATCCCAGTCAGACCAGCGATTTCATCTGAAATGAGGAGCAGTGTGCATAGCGGTGGTGCCCAGGGCTCTGGTGGGATGGCTGATGTATATATGTGTGTGTGTGTGAAAGAGAGAGAGAGAGACAGAGAGCAGTGGGTCAAACAGTCTTAGCTCTTGCAATAGCTTTTTGATGAGGACCCTCATTACACTAAACGGCCCTCTATGGTTCAGCCTCCCTCTGACTCGAGGGAAGGTTAAACAGAGAATAATTAAAGAAGACCGCCTCAGGCTGAGCGTGTCACCCTTAAGGCGACACTCTGGTCAGCGGTAGGCTGTTTCAAAGACGGCTCAATACAGCTCAAGTGCTCTTACCTAGTCAGTATCATATGGCTAAAATAAATGACACATTAATGACACTTTAATTCATTTCACACTTGGTGTGGATGTGGAAATGTGGAAACTAAAAAACAAAAGTTCGGTCAGATTTTTTTATGTTTTTGAAAGTCTTGTGCTCGCCAAGGTTGCATCTATTTAATCAAAATACAAGAAAATTTGCAATATTGTAAAATATTACTACAATTTAAAATAACTTTTCTATTAATAGTTTTATTTGAAATAGTTCTCTATTTGAATATATTTTAAAATGGAATTTATTCCTGAGATAAAAGAAACATTTCAACATTTCTTATTATCAATGTTGAAAACAAATATTTTTGTGAAAACCGTGATACTTTTTTTTTTAAAGATTCTTTGATAAATAGAAAGTTCGAATGAACAGCATTTATCGGAAATCTAAAACATTATATATAAAACATTTTGTAACATTATAAATGTCTTGACTGTCACTTTTGATCAATTTGATGCATCCTTGTTGAATAAAAAATATTAATAAAAATAAATAAATAAATAAAAAAAATAATGACCCCAACATTTTTAACAGTACATTTTTTTATACTGATTAAAAAAATTGAAATAAATAAATAAAAAACTGAAAGTAAAAAAGCATATATATGAACAGCTGTTGTATGGAAATCCCCTTTTTGTATCCATGGGAAAAAATAATTGGGGGGTTTAAATATTCATTTAAAACTTTTTATGTGGAAAGGTTGAATATATATTCATAGCCACACATCCAATCATGATCATCTGCCATTTGACTATTTCCACCTTGATATCATATAGCTCTTATTGTTATTATTGTAAAACCTGAATAAGTTAATATGAGATCTGCATCAAACATTGTAAGAGGCTTTCAAATGACATTAACTTATTTTTTAGATGGCAGTGATGGCTAATTCCAACACAGTTTATTATGGTATTTTGGTGTAAAACACAGCTAAATGGTATTTTTTGTAGGCAACAACCGCAAGATCACAAGTCTAAAAAGACACCACTGAAGTTCACCAAACAAAGACAACTGAGACCCGTTCTTTTCTCATTTTTCGCATCATCTTGAAGACAGAGATTATCTTGGAACCGCATGAATGATCAGTGACGAGAGAGAAAGTGTACTTTCACGAGTCCACGTGACACTGCCACATTGATTGTCTGCTTTTAATCCTCGACCTCATTATCACCCTCTGGTCTTACTCCAGCAGTAAATTAATCTATCTGCAAAGTGTCAAATCTTCTCACCTTCCTCCTGGTAATCACCCGAGGTGCAAATAAAAACAGCCAGGTTCGCTCAAGACCCTGCGTCCGTTACCAACAAGATGATGCCGTGTTATAATTAAAAACCAATTGGCCATTGTTGGGTTGCTCATTAAGCCGATCAAATATTTGTGTCTTCACTAAGGTCAACGCAATGACATACAATAACAGGGAGTGAGAACTGGAAAAAAATGTTAGAGATTGGAAAAGTTGCACAGAGTAAACAGCCAAAAAGAGTCATTAAAAATATGCTAATTTTAATGCTACAGCATTTTAAGAAGGAAAGGACTGTTTAAAGTAACAAATAAAGCAAGTAAAAAAAAAAGTTAAACTGTAAAACTGTCAACCTTAAAACTGTCTACACTAGGCGCGTTTCCATTACCCTTCAAATTGCGCAAATTGAAATTGCGAATTGAAAATACGCCTAATGGAAACGCGTCAATTTCGCAAAAACGCCCATATATCGCAAAAAAGTTTTTACGCTCGCATGAGGTGGTTTTTCAGGCAATGCGAAAAAGGAATAATTCGCAAAACTGCAATGGAAACGGCTTTTTCGCATTTACAGGTATATATATAATATAATTGTGCAAAATTTAACTTTAAAAACCACCTTCTCAAATCGGAAAAGGCGCTGTTACATTGAACAACCTCTGGGTTAAGAGGAGTCAGTGTCAATAAAAAAACCCTCCAGTGCCATTAACTGTAAGTGATATATGCAAGGCCTTTGCTTCACTAATCTGATGATATATTAAAACAGCTATATATTTGTAAAAGATAAAGGTTCCTAGAAAAATCCAACAAAAAAAAAATCTGCAATACCTTCCTACATCATACATTATTGAGTGAGAAAAGATACTATGTAATAGAAAGATCTAAACCCATTCTCTCATGCGAATTATTTATCAAATTCAAATAACAGATGGTATAATTTTCTTAAAATATCTTAATCATTATTCAAAAGACACAGTCCACGCACGTTTCTGAAGCGGCACTCTTTGCTGCTTCTGTAAAGATACACGCATAAGCCTCCCTTGAATAAATATAGCCAAAATCCATCAAAATCCCACTAAAATCCGTTGCCATGACTTATCGCACCTTTCTGAAAGCTTAAAGGAATAGTTTTCTCAAAAATGAAAGTTTGCTGAAAATTGACACCCTCAGGCCAATATGTACATGAGTTTGTTTCTTCATTGGAACAGATTTGGAAAAATGTAGCATTACATCACTTGCTCTCCAGTGGATCCTCTGCAGTGAATGCGTACACCTGCTTTTGTGTGATCAGAATACAGGTTGATTCTTTATACATCCCACACAGATCTGAAACAACATCAACACAGGCATAAACAAAGACATTCATGTCTTCTGACTCCTGGCCAATCCTTAATTCCTGAAATTAAAATGTTATCTGCTCACCAGGTTTAAAATATAGGCCCGCACGTAGAAAGTATAATTATCATTTGATTATTAAAAGACTCTCCTGAAGGTCTTGTGTCATCACGGTGATGGAAAAATGATATCAAACTACCCAAGCAAATTCAATTACCCAACCAATTACTCGCCTGTGTTCGTACTGACTTATTGGGACATTAAATATTAATGGGAGCATAGATATCAAATTTGCTCATCATTAGAAGGTGCACACATTGTGGGCTAATCACAGATGTTCCACATCACTCAGATCCTTTCAGCAAAGAACAAAACACTCCAACACAAAGAAGCACCTACATCTGTTGCTTGACTATTCATAAGGGTCCTAAAAGAATAGGATTTTATTAAGTAAATCTATTTCTGTAAATACATACATGAGTAAACTTGTGTCACTCTGTTACTTCAATAGCAATATACAATAAATTAAAGGTGACGTGTATCATTTTTGTGACACTGGCATGAATAAATGCAAATGCAAAAGTAATGAAGGTTTTCAAACAGGTTTCCCAGTCATCTATTGGTCAGACAAACAGAAAGTCCCACCCCAAACAAGAACCACAGAGCCACAGTGTTTAGACTTCAGGGAAATCAATCTATAAATACCTTATTTATAGCTGTATCGGAATTTTAAGCCTTTAAAAAAACATCTACGATTGAAAGAAAAAAAAAGAAAACCGATCATAATATTCATATTAATGGGTTTTTTAAATGGTTTTAAAACTAGTGGTTATATTACATTTTCTGGTAGGGGTGGAGATGTTATTCTTGACATTATTAATTTAAAAAAAATATATTAACAATAAAAAATATTATATGTATTTGTGTGTGTGTGTATTTTTATATAATAAAATAGAATTATGGAGAATCAATAAATTATGAATAAGCCTATCATGCAGTGCATGCTGCAAAAATCCTTTTCTTAATCAGTACTTTTTATTTTATTTTTTTTAGATGTGCCTTTTTATATGTTTATATGAATAACTATAATAATTATATTAATAATAGTAATAATACAATTATTATTATAATTGTTATTATTTTTAAATATTGGTTGTCTATTTATCTCTCTCTCTCTCTCAATGAAACGTGCAGGGTAGTAACTGATTACATGTAATCTGGATTATGTAATCAGATTCCAAAAATGAAGTACTTGTAATTAGATTGTATTACATTTTAAAATACTTGTAATCAGACTACAGTACATTTTTTATTGATTACATGAGTACATATTAATCACACAACATCAATTATTCATAAAAATAGTAATTCATTAAAATATAATATATATTAAAATATTATACTCTATCTATCTATATATATATATATTTTAAATACATTTATATATACAATATTTTAATTCATTACTTTTCATTTTCATTATATGTATAAAAATGCACTTATAAAATTTATATATATTTTTTATTTTATTTTAATTAATTGCTTTTTTAATTATGATATATACAAATAGACTCTATCCCCTTCTGGTGCATTTAGGCCCTATAATATTTGCATCTCTTAATTACATATTCATTTTTATTAATACATTAAAACTATGTTTTTTCAGACTAAGAAGGTTATTCCGCTTCAGATCAAGTTTTGGGAATCCTTAACAAAGCAATCCCACATGTTCATCTAATTTTAGAGAATAAAAGATTGGCAGAAGCCTCAAAGACACACCTGAGAGGAAAGGAGAGTTATCAGGGCATTAACTCACTGTAAACCCAGCAGACACGCTGGCGAGTTTACAGACTGAGATGACAGCCAAAACAGTGGGAGTTAAGATGCAGTGTTGGTGAAGTGTTTGGTGTTAACACAGAGATAGAGAGCGAGCGGTACCTGCTGTTAAACCTTTCTGGATGTTTCTCTCGCATAATGTGGAATCGATGAGCGATGGATGCATCCTGCAAAAGGAGAAAAAAAGCAAATCAGATCAGTTTTTTATGCACACCGGTACACCATCATCGCTGTTTCGTGAGCTTCTGACAATGGTTCGTTAGGAGCCTTTGACGTATTACACTCGCGCATCAGATTCTCTCATCATCCTCTGTGCATCTGGGTCTTAAAATCCTGAATTTGTCAAAACAGCTGTGTGAAGATGAAAAGACAACAGATTGAGGATTGTATTGAATAGTTTCATGATGGTTTTATCACGGACCATTAGCTATAAACAAAAGCCCCGCGTCAGAGACGTCGCAGACAGAGACGTGTTTATTTTAAAACCAGATGAATGTATTTTAAAACCAGACAAAACTCTGACGACAAAACCAAAATTCCTTCCCCCACACCGAGCACCAATTATGGGCCTGATCGCCCTTCCACACGACTGGAAACAAGTTTGAGCTCCATGCATATGTATGTGTGTTAACAAATAAGGTGTTTGTGATTCTTTGCTGGAGTTCTAGCCAACGATGATGAGTATTGACAAGAGGACTGAACACGTGGTTCAGGCTAATTAATCACACACACATACAGGATGCAGCGGCTCTGCTGGCGCCCGTCACAGGTACTCAGAGCTTCAGATGCACTTGCGTGTGCTCTGTTTGCATGTACTTTGTGTACTGTAAATGTTTTGTTGCTATGGTGATGTATAGAGATGGTGGTTGAAATGTAAAGAGATTGTATGTCCTGATTGAGAAATGTAGATTCTGAATGCCTGATCATTTGTAAGAACGAAGAGGAGAAGCACGACAAACATGACACGTTATAGAAGATACACATTTGTATCATTTGTTTCAAGCTATATTTTTGTAGACATATTATGATGTTGTTGCAAATTCACAGAAAACAGCAACATGGCACAAAACTATTGGACCTACGATGACCTATACAGGCAAAAGTGGCACCTTTTCTGATAATTAGTCTGTTACACAAAACCATGGAAAATGGAATGAATATTAAAAACAGATACTTAAGCATCCCACTTTAACAGTATTCTACCTATACAGGTTTTATAATTTGTATTTTTGCTAAAAAGGCTTAAAATGTCTCACCACATGTTATCAATTATTATTATTATTATTATTATTAAAAGTTTGGCTTCTTAACCAAATTTGTGATAATACTTTTTTCTACTAAGGTAAAGTTAGAAGAGGTGTTACAGTCACTTAGATTTTCTTTAGTAGATAGTTTATATTTCTTTGATTTGTTTATATCAGTCAGGGCCCAGGACTATCATTTTTATTTTGTTTGATTTAAAACATAATTCAAATGCCTAATGACCTTTTCAGGAATAAAACATGATTTTAAATACATGCCAATTCTGTTGAATCATCAAAGCAAATTCTAGCAATGTTCATTTGGGAGTATAGAACCAGAGGTATTACTGATAACTAAAACTAAACATAAAAGAAAAAATAAAAACGTTTAAAAAGTACAAATAAATAAATACATAAATAAAGTTGTCATTTCTCATTTTCATTTAGTTGAAGTTGAAGTAATACAACTAAAAATGATAAAATACAACAAAATTACTAAAACGTTAAAAAAATAAAATGAAAAGGAAAATATAAAAATAAAATCTAATTCAAAATATTAACAAGAACTATAATAGTATACTAAAATAACAGTATGATATGGAAGCCCGTTTCCACCACTGAATAAAAAATAAAAGAGGTAATTGCGACTTTTTATCTCACAATTCTGACTTTGTTTCTCAGAATTGTGTGATATAAACTCGCAATTGTGAGTTAAAAAGTCATAATTGAGAGATATAAACTCACAATTCTGACTTTGTTTCTCAGAATTGTGTGATATAAACTCGCAATT